TTCATTATGTAATTATGTACTAATGCAACTAAATATATAGCAACAAACTTGTAAAGCTAAAAGGTTAATTGTTGCATTTATGGAAAAAAAGTTGGAATGCAATCTTAAACCTGTCAACTGAGAGTATAATTTGAACATATATACAATTCATGATGTAAATACCTATGTAACAATTATGTCATTACATGTTAATAAATATGTAACAAGTCAAATAAATGGCAAAATGGCAACGACAGCTCCAGATGTCTAAGGGTTAGGTTCCATGCCTGAAGGGTATGGCTGAATTGCTGTTAATAGTGTACAATTAAAGAAAATACTCTGGACAATAATGCCACTTACTCTTTGCTGTTTGCTTGTAAAAAGTCCACAGAAAAGCCAAAGTAACTCCCCTCTGGACCGGATTGTTCACTGTAGTTATTCAGATCCAAGTTAAAGCTACTGCTCTGATGTGGCAAGATACTTGCAGTTAAACCCAGAATGAAGAGAAACAGGTTTTTTTTTGCTCCCTCCATCTTCTCCAGCAGGAGTACGAGTGGCCTCACTTGCTCATCACTGGACGTTTGTGTTTGTGGTGTCACAATCGTTTTTCCGCCTAATATCTGCAGCTCAGTGATGTAAAAGAGCTTCCTGCTAATGAGTTTAATGATTGTATGTGTAATGTTCATACAGGAAAATACTCTCTGTTCATTGGTTCACTCATTTTGTTATGTGTGGCAGCTTGAAATATGCTTCCTTAAGATAACAGAAGACAGCATGTTCCTCTCCTAAGCGGCTGCGTGGTTACTTTATTATTAGGCAATGACACTGGGCTGTAATACAGTGTACAGTAGCCTGTGTATATATTAGAGACATACAGAGATAAAAATACAGGGAGTTAAAGTGTATATATGTAACATATTTTAAATAGTAAAAAAAGGTGATGCATTGAATTGTGTCATCATTCACACATGAATAAACATAAACACAGTTTGTGTCAAAAGTAAGTGAACTGAAAGACATATTAGTGTCATTTGAAAATTGTGTACATTTGAAGTGAGTTAAATGCATGACTTTATTCTGTGTGTATAATTCTCTCCATTAGTGGTTCCCAATCTGGTCCTCAAGGGCCTACAGATGGTCCACACTTTAGGTAGAAGCCAAAACGTGGACAGTCTAGGGGGCTCTGAGGACAGGGCTGGGAACTACTGCCACACATCATATATATTGTAATGACCAGACAATACATTTTACATGCTTCAGTCTAAGAATGTCAGTGAAATTACAGGACTGTGCAGACGTCAGAGACCATCTTTTTATTTATTAATTCCCAGTCAAAACTGACATTAAGTACAACTTTTTCATTTTTTGTGAGGTTTATACTATATTGCTATTGCATAAGAAAGGGAAACATTTAAAAAAAAAGAAAAAAAATAGGAAAAAAATTAAAGATATAAAGAAAATGGAACTCATAGCGACCATGCAAGACCTGGTAGACCACCAAAACCGTTGTCATCAGATATGGAGAGACCATTTCAAGTGTGGAAACATATCTCTGCAGATTTCTTTGAAAAACTGAAAGCAAGTTTCCTTAAAAAAAAAGGAAGCTATAATAAAGGCAAAGGCTGAACTCAAGATCTTGGGAAAACAAATTACCATAACATGGAAAAACAAAAAAGGTGAATCCGTGGCCCTTCAGGGCTTCCGTGTTATGTAGAGTCTTCTGGGTAATTTTCTGCTCTTTTTTCTGATGCTGAAAAATCACTAGATAACTCGATGGCTGTTTTTATATGTACATTGAATAAATCAATGGTGGTGGTCTTTACCTTTTCTTTTACAACGCTGTACATGTATATGTTGCATTGTGTCTTAAAAGTTTCCATAGATGCTCACACTGTACATTTTCCTGAATATTTCAATGGCCCCAAGAGAGATTACGCTATTAAGAGGAGATTACTGAGAAAGCCATGTGTGCTGGAGGTACTGCCACAAAAAAACAGACAAAAACAGCACCACTTCTGTATCTCAGGAGATCCACACTGGCTGAAACTACACATAGCAGCTTGACGATTAAAAGACACAGTTACTGCTTATACAAACTTTTTATTGATCAATGATAAATCTATGATTTAATAAACAATGCTGTACAGCAAAGTAGAGAGAACTTCGTTTATGCACTTCAATATTACGGAACAGTACAGTATAGCTTTTAACATGTTCATCAATATGTAACTTGCCACATGAAAAATACACTGTTACACATTGCTGTTGTAACAAAAATCTCCAAAATGATAAGTTAGGAGATTGAAAGCTCTCAAATATTAACATAGGTTCATGCAGCAAAGTACAATTTAATGTGTCTATGAAAAAAAAAAACATACAAAACAAGAGCTGCTTTCCCACATACACATCTGTAAAGGCCTGAAATGGTTTTTAAAGATCTGAAATAATGGTATGTGTACATTCCTGATGCGCAGTGATGTGTTTAATGTACCCGTACTCAGAATGACCTGAAATCATCCTTGACTGTTTGAGGTCAGAGTGAAGAAATACATATATAAAGATGTCCACGTGTGAAACTACATCCAGCAAAGCCAAAATTCCTCTCGTCACAAGACCCTAACACAGGCAGCCTAGAACAACAGACTCTGTAACACCAGAGAATAGAACTGCAGTTCAGAGCCTTGTTTTCATCAAGAAGTCATATTAACTCACTGTAATCGTGAAATCTGAGCAGGTGCATTAGATGATTTATGCACCTTTCTTACACTGCCTGAGACATCAGTATCCAGCTCATAAAAACAACTGCAGAATGATGAATAAGAATAATAGAAAAAGCCAAAAAGCATCGTGGTGTAGTGAAAGGTGAGGTGAGGAAGGTTTGCTGTGGTACAGTCTTTGCATTATGTGAATTTCTAAACAGCTTGGACTGTAATTCCTGCTGTATAAGGAGGCATGATGTATGATGTATGATGCTGTGTAAGAAATTATAATTAAACAACAGCTTCACAGAGAGAATATACTGATGAGGCTGCTTACATCACACTTGATAGGGTCCATATAATAAAAAAACAAGTGAGAAAACATGTGAAGGCTTAGTCACACTTGCAGTTGCAAGTACAGTTTCGCAAGCAAAATTACATTAATTTCCTGTGATAGCAGTTAGCAGTTTCTGGAATGACTAAATGTCAACCTTGGTGAACTTTTGACCCATGAGTTTGCATCTTTGATAGTCTTACTGTTTTGGCAGTGTTGAAGAGGTGACCCTTCATACAGCAGCACTAATTATCCAAGATGGAGGAAATGCTAATTGAACCTGAGCATGAACCTTTTATGAACCTTTTAACATTTCTTTGCCACTAGCTGTAAATAAACACATGACAGAGAGACACGCTAGATACACAGTCAGTCAGGACACTGTATTGTTATCGTATGTGTTTTGCTGTTTTCATAGGCGAGTTAACCAAGCTGCTAACTGCTATGTTAGCTCCTTGGCTAAATGCAGCTGCTCACAAGTCAGTGCCACTAACCACACCAGATATCTACACTTTTTTTGCTGCAGATCAGTGTGTAGCACTATTCTGTGGTAAATAGTTATCTAATACAAACCCCAAAGAAGTTGGGACAGTATGTGTAATGCAGATAGAAACATAAACAGTGAGTTATAAATCTACTCTGACCTGTATCTGAGCGAAAACAGTACAAAGACAAGATATGCAATATTTTATTTTAAGAACTATATTATTTTTTGTAAATATATGCTCATTCTGAAACTGATGCCTGAAACATGTTCCAAAAAAAGTTGGGACAGGGCAATTTAAGACTAGGAACATTGTGAAATGTTGAAAAAACTAAGGAACTGATTGAGGAATTGAGTTTGTATAATTATGCTTACTTTGTGTTATTACTGATTATGGTAGACAAGTTAGCCAGGTTGCTAACTGCCATGTTAGCTCCTTGATTCACAGCAGCTGCACTGAAGTCATCCTGCTGCTGACGATCACACCAGTTATCTACATTTTTTGCTACAGATCAATGTGCAGCACTATATTCTCACCAGTATATTATTATCTGACGTACTGCACTAACAGAGAGATTTTTTTTTTTGTCACCAATCTTTCGGACAAATCTCAGTCATGCTCATTTTGCAAGGTGACTCGAACTGAAAGTGTTTCATGTAACTGCAGGTTTAGAGTTTTCAAACATATCATTCACACCCCAGTCCATATAGCCCATTTATGGAAGCTGAGCTGGGGGAAAAATAAAAAAACTACCCTTTTTGAAATCCTTGTTTCTGTGATGTGATGAAAACACATTTACATATATTTTGTCACTGTCAAGATAAAACTTTGTATCTCCAAAATGGTAACTTTACTAAGAAGCAAAATATGCTATTAACTTTGAATGGAAATCAATGGAAAAATGTAATAAGTCACTCTGAGGCATTTCTATTGGTCCATTGATCATGAAATTTTAACATATAAAGTGCAGCTGGAATTTTAAAATTATGTTAGAAAAGCACCAAAAAGGAGATACAAGGTTTGATCCAACAGCAATAATATAGACATATTCAGCCTTCAGCAGTTTAGCTCCACCCACTCATGTTGAAGTTATAAGGAGTGTTTCAGCCTGGATTGCTTAATGAATGAAGTATAATACAAGGCAGCCAATCTGAACAGATGTCTTTTACATATATCAGTCTTAAAGGCACAACAACTGTAATAAGAGATAAAGAGAAGTTGAAAAATGGTTATTTAAAAATCAATTATGACCGTTTTTCAACCTGTCCAGGGTGTTTCCTGCTTTTTCTGCCACACTAATCAAAGCAATGCATTGAATTTCTTGATTTAAATGCGTAAAGAATTTCCACATGAATAAGATACAGTATATTACAGCAGCACAACTATCGCCAAAAGTAAATAAAAGCAAACCTGTGTTGATGTCATATGCTTTATTCATGTGGAAAAAATGTACATATTCAAATTGCATAAAATTAATGCATCACTGGCCCAAATAGGATCCACCTAGATTTCTGTATTGCTCTCAGGGCTTCTAGGCTGTTTGGAGGGAGCTGTAAGGAAAACCTGTCTGAATTCCACGAGCCAGTCACTCAGGCTGGTCCAGCGGGGGTAGAGGAGCAGGTCATACAGCAGCCAGGCCAGCATCGCTCCCACACACGGTCCTGCCCAGTACACCTGCCCCAAGAAACATGGGTTTAGTACTGACCCTTTTAAGTCAATGTGAATCAGACTTCAATCATCACCATTTTCCTTCCATGCTGTAACATGATTATGAGTGAAACACAGGATCAGAGATGGTTTCTGAGCTACTTGAACATTTGACTCAATGACAAGTAGGGGGTGGTGGGAGGGGGAGATGAAATATGATATTATTGGTTATTTTTAATGTTGCCTGCCTGCTGGTGCCCAGTGATGTAATCAAAACTCAGAAGATGTTTTAGAGGTCAGGAAAAAAGTCACTACACTTCAATCAGAGATTAAAGGAAAGCAAGAATTTTGTCTTTAAAATGGTATTATCTGATGCACTAAACTGTATTTAATATTGTGGCATCTGACATGGGCCGCACTGCCATGAGGAGCTTAGGGGGTGTGGCCATGCATAGTGGCTCTCGTAAAGTTCTGCTGCTGCTGCTGCTGTTGTGTGGTTTAGTTGTTGTTGTAGTTGTGTTTGTTAGAGTAATTCTGTCCAAGGAGAGTGGGCTTTGTAATGGAACTAGTGGTTGGAGGTGTCTACCCTCCACGAATGTTGTGTCCTCCTGCGTTACCCCCTCCCTGTATTTTGTGTTGGGCTTAGCACTGGGTTGGGCAGTGGGCAATATGACCAGAAACATGAACTAACAAGGTAAAAAAAAAAATCATTAACATTCATGATGGTAGGAACCAGGTGTCCAAAGTTCTGTGCCTTTAAAGCTACACCAAATGGTCATGAGCACACGGCCTGAGACATTGTTTACAATACTTTTGAGATAAGATTTTGGCCTAAAACATCTAAAAAATCTATTTATGGTGGAGCGCTACACGTAGGGTGTTTTAAGACTAAACAGTCCACAAACAAAACTGTTTTTTTTCCAGAATTAAAACTATTTTACATACGTCTACAATACATACAAAACATAGATATGTGTAGGTTCACTGATGGCTTTGGATAGCAAATAAAATGGCTATATTTGTGCAAACCCTGGTTCCTATCACCACCACTGTAAAGACATCTGAGTCAGTTAAACAATTTAAAAATCAAACCACTCTGATTAATTTTGTTTAACGACTGAATAATGCAGAATTTTTTAAAAAATGGCAAGGTTCCTATTTAAGTATAACCTTTCAAGAGATGGAGCACTGGCTGCTATTGTAAATGATTAGGGTTGTAAAGCTTTGACTTAATCATTCAGTTTCATTATATTCTTTACTACAATTTGATTCAATTTGATAATTTTGATGTATTATTAAATACACAAATGAGTACATACTGGGGCTGGAGGAATATATACTGCGACATAATGTGACTGGAGGAATTATTTCCATAGCACTGCAGTATAAACAACGTCATCCACAATCTGCTTTTTTGGGTGGGATGGGGGTGCTGTTTGAAAATAGCCTGACAATGTTTTTTTTTTTTGACTAAGAAACAAGCGTACACTTCATAGGGTATTATTATAGTCAATTATATCTGATTCTAACAGTCCATCAATGCATGTTTACACCTACCACCTACATGAATCACTGATATCAGTGTTGCTCTGTATGATGAGTGACGTAATCTAAATGGCCTAATAAGGAAGAGGTTTATAAGGGACAGTTACTCACCCAGTGATTTTCAAAGTTCATTGTCAACACAGCTGGACCAAATGACCTAGCTGGATTCATTCCACAGCCTGTGAACCCAATCTGCCCACAATAAAAAGAATACGATGACCATGAAAAGAAAGAAATGAACAAAACGTCAGGTTTTCCACTGTGTCCTTGAGAAAGATAAATACACAAAACCTAATCATTTAAATACTACTGTTAGTATTTCAGTTCATACAAATATCTGCAGTTCAGGTTGTCATGTTTGACAATGCTGCTGTCATAACAGGTTCAAATGAGGTTCATACGTAAAATTTAAATGTACTTTTTTTACCCCTCACTTAACATAGCAGTGAATGTGAAAGCTTCAGTTGACATTGCCTCTTGCACTTCATCATGTGTGTGCACTGAGTGTATGTGTAAATATGGATGAGTAGCAGAGAGGAACCCTCAGGGCCTGTTAGGCCTTCAGAGGAGCCCTGATGATTTTTGTGAAATAAATAAAATACATGTCTGTAATTCTTATCTAATAGAATTATCATGCTTGTTGTATTTAAACTTTGCAAGCAATGCTCACATTCCATTTATAGTTTGGCTAGAAACAAAAAAGGGTTACATTTTTGAAACACCCAATGGAAAATCATTTAATCAGGATATGTTCTGCAGTGGTGTCTAGCATTAGCATTGTCATAGAGGTGTTTTTTCTTTGTTTTTGACAGAGTTTAGACATTTAGGACCCAGTAAATGAAAGCCTAGCTCTACTGGTCACAGTAAACAACTGGTAATCCAAATATCCCATCATTACAGTATATCCATCTGTATATTTATTTATTCACCTGTCTGTCTGTCTGTCTATCTATCTATCTATCTATCTATCTTTTCTGCCTATCTATCTGTCTTTCTTTCTTGATTTATTTCTATCCATCCATCTATCTATCTACACTATGTGGACAAAAGTATTGGGACATCTACACATTACACCTACAGGAGCTTTTATGACATCCCATTCTAAATCCATAGGCCTTAATATGGAGTTGGTCCCCCCTTTGCAGCTATAGCTAGTTGATCCCAAAGGTGTTTGATGGGGTTGAGGTCAGGACTCTGTGCAGACCAGTCAAGTTCTTCCACACTAAACTCACCCAGTCATACCTTTATGGACCTTGCTTTGTGCACTGGGGCTCAGTCATGCTCATCAATATGACCCATTCTACTGCCAGTGTTTGTCTATCAAGACTGCAAGGCTATGTGTTTAATTTTACCCACCTGTTAGCAATGGGTGTGGCTGAAACACCTGAATCCAATAATCCAATAAAAATACTTTTATCTATCTATCTATCGATCTATCGATCTATCAATCTATCGACCAATTAATTGTTTCTGTCTATCTACATTGGACAGTACAATACTAGTGATGTAAGGTAATCTGGCACTGATTAATAATTACCTGGAACATAATCTGAATAACTTAAAAGTAATATATGATCTGATTTCTTTTAGATTGTTTTTGGATGATTTTTTATCAAACTGCTTTATTTGTTTTCATGAGTCTATGTAAAAGCACAGCCCAAATGTCTCCTCACTCCTCTCCACATGTAACTGTTGTTACCTGTGATAGTGACTCAGCTATTACTCAATTTATGGGCACACTCAATAAAGTTAATCGAATGCTTTATTGATGTTTTCTAATCAAAAATGTAATCTGAAAAATAGTAATCTATGAAAAAGTAACTGCAGTCAAATCATATCTATTTTCAAAATGTTCTGTTCTGATTGCAAGTCTGTTCCTACTCCACACTGTCTATCTACATGAACCTCTGCCAGAAATCAGCCACCCACCTCTCTACCTCTTGCACTGCCTTACCGCAATGAGATGTCCCAGAGTGACAGACAGGCCCAGCACAGCCGGGGCCAGTGAGAGGAAGGCTGATTTTGGATGAGTGACAGTCAGGACAGAGAGAACAAGCTGGAACGTCACAGCCATCTCCACTGAGAACGCCTGGTAGAGGTGCACTCCAGAGGCCAGCTGAGAGAGAGCCACGGAGAGAGAGAGAAGGTAAGTGCTGCTTTATCTTTCATCACCAGACACTTAATAGTCTTTTCAGTATCTTCAGCTCGCTTTTACAGGACATTCCTCCTACTCATTTGGCGAAGAACTCTTTCTCTTTTTGCTCCCTGTCAGTAGCCTAGAGTTATTCACTCATGTTCATTTTTTCCACTCTTTTCCCGCTGTTGGAGAGTCCACCTTCTTCCCCCACCTTCTCAGTTCGCGAGTCTTCACTCCTTCCAGTAATTTGACAGCCCGCACTTTTTTCCTTCCCCACCTGTCTTTCTTGATCACCCATTTTAACCTCTCCCACATTCCACTCCTTCACTCCATTTACTTTTATTTTGGCAGGCCTGTCATTTTCCTCTGAACCATCCTGACCTCGCTCTCTTTTCTCAACCACTCACTGATCGATAGGTCATAAACAGACCACAGTTGTTTCAGAAAGAAGAAAGCTCGAAGTAATCTAGCAAGAGCACTTTGCCAACACCCGTGTTAAAGGTTATTGCATCTCGCATAGGATACACATCAGCTGTCACGATCATATAGTGTAAAACGTACATTTTTGCTATGTTAAAACATTAAAATAATCTTAGTTTACTAAGATTATTGTTGTATCATGCACATTTGATGTTCAACATTGTGCAAAATCAGAGACTACTATTTAATTAATTTAATTTCCAGTCAAAACAGCCATTAAGATATTCAGTTTTCAGCATAAAGACAAAATCAGTTGTGGAAGTTGAAAAAAATTGTAAAAGTTACAGTAATGTATAAAAGTTTTAGGCACCTAAGCACATTGTTTGAAACCATTTGTCTTGGCAATAAGTGTGTTTTTGAAGAACCCTATATCATTGAAATGGATGTACATGAATATAGAGACAGTAAAAATGGAACAAGAATTTTATATTTTGAACACAGCAGTTAATGTCTTGTGAGCTAGTTTGGAGAACATGATTTAATATAATGAAGCCAAGTGCTGGATGACAACTATAAACAATTGCCAATTTGCCAATAAAATCATAATATATCACTATAATAAACGCAAATAAACATGAATACAGTAAAAACTTATAAGACATTGGGAAAAAAAGTAGCTGATTACTTGTGTGCCTGTTCAAAGAACAAAGTCTGGTTCCAGGTTCCTGCTGGATGCCCCCAGCCACCAATTCCATCACTGGTGCACTTTAACATTTTAACATGATGAAACATTTTCTAGCCAGACTAGATATCAGCTTCCTCAAGGGGAGGTTTGGAAATGGTTGAATGAACACATTGTCGTACGTAAAATCAATACTTACTGTATTAATGTGATTTGTATTTATTCTAATATTGACCAAATAAACTTTTTTAAATTTTAATTTTTTCAGGTGCCTAAAACTTTTGCACAGTACTGTATTCATCAGAAAATTACATAAAAGCCTTAACAACTAAATATAATAACACATTTTCAGTATTTAGTGTGTCCACCCTTTTATCCCTTTGCCACTATACTGCCTTTCCACACCTCTGAAGCTCAGTCTTTTCTTGCTTCTCACGATTCAAGTTATGCCAAACGTTCAGTTTGCGCATTCATATACAATCACATTCAGGTGGACAGTCCATTGTTCTGAGAGCACCAGCTGCTTCTTTGTTTGATTTGCAAATGTTCTTTTGCTTGTTTCCTTTTCTCAGAAAAGGCTTCTCGACAGCTAGCTTTGAGTTGTCTTCTCACAGTGGAAGGATGGACAGAAACAGCTGTAGATGTTCTCAGATCTGGACCAAGAGTGGAGCTTGATTTTCTCCTCTCTCTCAAAGATGAAAGCTTTAAGTACTGTTTATCTGATGGTGAGTTGTGGTGGTCCACCAGGTCTCAGGAGTCCCATTTTCTCTGCATTTTTTCATCAGTTTTTTGAACTTCAGTTTTGGAAATTCTTATTTTTTCACTTTCTTTCTCCTTTCTTTAGCAAGTAGATTATCTTATCTCTAACCTTGGAAATATCTTCTGAAAATGCAATAAGTTGTACTTAATGTTTACTTTGACTGGAAATTAATGGAAATGAAGGATGTTCTCTGATTTTTTTTTACTGTATGAAGGAGCAAACACAAAGTGGTTTAGCAAACTGAAGCTAAATGGCTAATTTAGGACTAATTAAGACATGATTTAATAATTGATGCATGGTATAATAGGCTAAAAGGTGCAGCAATGTGGCATAAACACACGTATTGCATTTCACTGTTCCAGTTATTTGAAGCAACATTACACTTAATGTCCATTTAGCACACTTAGCAATAAAAAGTGAAATAAAGAAACTTCTCACCTCATTGATCCCCAAGTTGCTCCTGAGTGAGGCGGGAGCTATACCTAGCAGCAGGCTGCATGCAGTAAGGGCCCCCAGCAGCTGCGCCCCAACATACAGGACAGCCTGCCAGGGGCTCACCCTGAGCCCCGCCACCAGGGCCAACGTCACAGCTGGATTCAGATGCACCCCACCCAGGCACACGCAAGTGAGGGCAACGGAAGCTCCAAAGGCCAGAGATACATGAAGAGGGTCTGGGGTGCACTCATGTAGAGATTCCATTGTCACCAGAGGGTCTGCAGTTATAGTGTCCCAAGACTGAGAACCAAAATGTGGCCACAGAACCACTGAAGAAAGACTGGTGAAGAGGAAAAGGGTGGTACCCACAAACTCCCGAAAAACATCACGCAAAAATGAGATGGACCACATGTCCTTCAGGATCAGACCAAACGTGGACCACAGCTTCATGTTCCTTCTTCTTCTGTTCTTCCTTGAAATTTGTCTCTTTTTCTAAAAGAAGTTTATCGTAATCTCTACAATAGTCTATCAGTGTGGTAGAACTCTGTAGGTACAATTCAAACTTTGTCTCAAATCCCAAACTCTCTTAGAGCCACATCACAAGCTTATAAATGCCTCCGAGCTTCTGACGTTTTATAAATGACAGTAAGTTCATCCATTTTTTTTCACACAGCAGATCTTTCCGGCATCCTAACAGAAAGGTTACATTGTAATCGGGTGCTAAACGGAGGTGGAGAGATGGTAATTCAGTCTGCACATGTTTCGAATCTCAAACAGTCAAACCTCTCTCTGTATGCTAAATGTCGAGCTAGGTGTCCTCTTTCCCAGTCCCCTTTCTATTTCCCTATCAGCGACCCGCATCCCTATCGGGTTTTTGCCACTGAGTGGGCCAGCGGCGAGGGTCCCGTACCAATTTACTGGCTGTTCTCAAAGAGTACTCTCTCTCTTTTCCGTGAGATAATGAGGCTTGAGAAGGATTAAGAGGTGTCAAACAGCTAATGTTCGCTTTACTAGCTCGGACTGAAAAAGACAAGATTCCGCTGGGCGATAAATTCGTGAGTGGAGCCATAGTTTCCAGAACACTTCAGATCAGACGGATAACGTGCTGGAAGAGGAAGATGAATGGAGGAATGGACCTGAAAGCTGGAGCAAACACTCAAGCACATGACTCAGATGCTGATAGTACATTCTGCAAATGCCATGGGATAGCTACAGGCTTTGGCTTAAAAATGGGCTGGTATTTATTATGTAACTCAAATTTAAGGCAATAGTCACAAAAATTGAGCCTTCACTGCTCAACAATAGTAAACCAGAGTTTAACTGTGCTCCTTATATTCTCAATCTGCCATCAGGACAGTTACCTGTAAGTTATAATTATAATGTTGGATGATGATGTTCACAATAATCAGTTTGTCACTGGTCTGAAAGGCCTCTTTGCTGAGCAGATGAGTCAACACTGGTCAAAACCTTAACATTTGCCTTGTTCATTTTGCTTCAAGAAGCAGCTAACATTAGACTTCTTCATTAGAGAAACAGTTACAGGCACCTACATAATACAGTGTTTTTGTTTTGTTGTACATTATGCTGTGGATTACGTGATTTTAACCAATGACACTTTTCAGCATGAAAAATGAGGGAACAAAATAAACAATAATTTTACTGAACCTTATCAAAAGTAGGAACAAATTCAGTGTTGGTTTGTTTTTAAAAATGTGATTTACCAGTTAATAAAAAAGTTATTTTGAATTATAATTTAATGTCGGCCTAATTTAAGTGTAAAAGTGCGACGTTACCTGCTATTTTATTTTGTTTTTCCAAGTACATTGCGACCTCACTAAAAATACTGGGTTTAACCTGGCAACCCTATTGTCAACATTCTGCCTACACCCCTGATCATAAAGCATATTTCTGGACATTTAAATCATCCAATTTGATTATCAATCATGGCAGACTGAAACTATTAGCGACTGACAATGCTATCATTGGTTCAAGTCTAGAGATCATAAGAGAGATTCATGATATAAAGGGTTTTGTTGCAAGATGCATTATAGACTATTTTTGTTTTTTTTTGTTTGTTTGTTTTTTGTGATATGCATTGTTGGGAGTGGGCTTACATATATGAGAAAAATGGGGGCCATTTTATGATTAATAGCACCTTTATTAGAGAAAAAATCTGTTGTTCTTTTCAAAAACTTGCTATACCCAAAATTATTACAAATGGATGTCCAGCATTTTGGAATGAAACTCTTATTTCACAAAGCAGGCTAGTTTAATACTGGGAATTCATGACACATTCTGCTGGAACAAAATGCTAATGTGAAAGATCTTCAGTAACACTTCATAAAACTGTTTCATTGTTAATACATAACTTTGCAAGGCATGAATTAATAGTGCTGCATTAACACTTGAGACACCACTATTATTTACCACTGAATAGTGGTGAATTACTCAGGGGGTAAGAGTGAACTAATGACAGGGGTGGAAATAATTACTAAGTCTAAAATACTTTTCAAATGGAATAAGTTATTCAGACATATGTCCATCAGGGGTACACCTAGGAGCACCTTGAGGTTGTTGGCCATTACTAAAACCTCTAGATTTTTTTCCTGAATGCTACAAAAATGTTTGGTTGTGCTCACATGCTCGTGTTTTTGTCATGTGTTTTAACTGGTTATATCAATAAAATACAGTAAGGTCATATTAAACAATCTGTAGTATCAGTGTATAGCAACTGTTTCATTTAAATGTTTTAATAGATGAAAGCCCCTCACATTAAAATCTGATTTACCTTTGAGTCTGTCTAAAAACGCTCTATAGCACTGGCTGTAGAGTACCAGCCTCTTTCAACACAGGAAAGAAGAACTTATAGAGAAAAGAAGAGGAAAGAATAGAATACCTTAACTTGACTGATGCCAACAATGACCATTCAGTCAGAAACTGAGACTGGGCTGAAAGGACGCTACACTGCTACTGCTAAAGAGGTCACACAGTGAAAGCAAGGTTAATATGTGAAGTGTTGATATGGGGCAAGTGATGATTGGGGGCTATTACATTACCGGTTTCTGGACAGTAATGAGAGAGGATGTGGAAGAAGGACACTTGAAGGTTACAATGTATGGAGTGGTGGAGAGAGGATTGAAGTGGAGTCTTCTGTAACTGTAGTCCTGCAGTATGAATAAATGTATTATGTAGAAAAACACTGAGCTCAGTGTGCTGAATGATTTGCCTTCTGCATATGTTAGATGTGGTGCATAATCAGAAGCATCATTATCATTTGGCTCAGGGTACAAAACAGAGCATCTTTTGTATTCTGGAATTTAATGGTGCATTTTTGGAAGGTGTCTTGCACATGCAGAAACACACACACATGCACATATATACACACACCCGTATGTATATTATATATATGTATATATCATGTATATGTAAAATATGTGTTTCAGTAGTGACAATTCTTTAAGTTACCCACTGATTCTCAGACTTGGGACACATTTGGGATAGATGGGATCTGACTGCTCATCTGTTGTACTCTCACTTATCTCACGTAATGCTCTAAAAGGCAGGGGCATGGCTGAAATAAGGTTCTGATTATGGACTCCAACACTGTGTTTGGGTAGTGACAAGAAAATGTGGGACAGCAATTTTTGATTTCATTTTTGTTTCACTGAAAAATTAAACTCATGATAAATCTAAATCACTCAACTTCACTTATATAAATAAAGAAATAAATAAATAAAGCAGATAAGTGAAAAATAAAATACAGAATGAATACAAAAAAAACATTTTCACAGGTTTATTATTTTCGTTTAGGTGTTCGGGTTTTTGTACAGACACCTTTCAATAGAATGCACCCTATAAATGATGATTTTATATACATTTTGCAGATTTCTATCTCAATTAATGTCTTTGGTTTAAACAGATCACAACATAAATCTTGTAAATATCAATATAGTTAAAGTGTAATAATAATACATTGCATGTGCAGGCAAATTCTCTTTTATTCAACAAGCACTTCAATGAGGCACCTCCCGAGAGACACTTTGCATGGCCACACCCCCTGAGCTCAATATGGCAGTGTGGCCCATGGTGGATGCCACACCCTCTCAATTATAACAATAATAATAATCACAATTGTACTTATATATAATAATAATAATAATAATAATAATATTTCTGGTAGGTAGGGTAAACTTGCAGTAACCCCAAATGTTACTATATTAATGAAAAAGTAAATTAATTCTGTGGTTATTTCAACCAGACAAGCTTTCATACCTAAAATACATAAAATAAATTCAACAATATATACAGAGAATATACTGTAACTTGAGTCAGTGGACCATTGGCTAATTTGTATGCTATAAACCAAAAACTGAAAATTAAAATAAAAAATAAAAAGAAATCACTTTAGAAAGTCAAGAGCTAACAGGCTAGGCCTGAAAATGTATGAAACACACACACACAAAGGAGTAAACACATCACACACCCTGCAGCGCAGCATGAGAAGAGGCAGCGCCGACATGCTTCCTGTCCTTCAGGGAATTGCTGGAAAAGCTGGTGGCACCCCCCTGACTTTCAGTACATGAGCACTGACCCATTTCTGGGAAGGCTGTGGAAACGTGAGGCCTTCTGCTAATGGCTGGCAAACAATCCTACAGACTTGAGGACAAAAAATAAAACAAAATATCCCTCAGGTATAGCCAAACGTGCCTGTCTGTGACATCTGAGCAAATGTCTGACATTGGAAGGAGAACTTTGTGGAAAATCTAAGCAAATGCAACCTTAGAGTCTCCATATTTTAAGCCATTATTGAGCAGCAGTACAGTATCATGATCGCAGGCTCAGACAGCGCTCTATAATTAACTGCCTGATCATCTCTTATCTCTTATTGCGGTCCACTTGTACAAGGATGTACAGTGCAGTTCTAAAAATAAAGGTCTTAAAGGGGTTCTTTTGAGCATTGCCATAGAACTGGAATGCCCAAAGCGAGGCCTGTGTGCCAAAGTTAGCCAGAAAGTTATCCTAAGCTGGTACAGAGCAAATGTCAGTCCATTGTTCTGACTGAGAACACAAGCAGCTTCTGTGTTGGATTTGCAATTTATTTCTCAGTAAAGGCTTCTTGCCAGCTACACATCCTTTCAGACTCATAGCGCTGAGCTGTCTTCTCACAGTGGAAGGATGGACCAAAACACTGTGGTTTTTTTCCAGATCTGAAGCAAAAGTGGAGCTTAATTTTCTCCTCTCTCACAAAGTTAAAAGCTTTTGTTTATCTGTTGGTGGTCTAGAAAGTCTTGCACGGCTGTCAGGAGTCCCATTTTCTGTCCATCTTTGGAGACAGACTCCAGTTTTCCAGTTTTCGTTTCATTTTCTGATGCAACTGAATTATTTCATAATGTACTTAATGGCCTTTTTGAGTGGACATTAAATAAATGAACAGTGCTCTCTGACTTTTG